ATTTTCTTAATTATTTGAATAATAAGTAAGTAGGATAGTTGCATGAAGAAACCTCTCCAAACAAAGGAAAGGTATGTTTGGTAAGCCAAATAAGCTAGCTTATAGTTTATTATGTTACCTTATAAGTTCCATGTATTAAAATAAGTCTCGTTTGGTAGTACGAGCTTTTTTAAAAAGGTCGAGCTTATTTCATAAGTTACTTTAGGTAGCTTTTCAAATAAGCTAGTTGAATTTTTTATTTCAGCTAGCTTATCAGCTAAATTACCAAACGCTTTTTATCATATAAGCTAGTTTTTCAGCTATAAGTCATAAGCTATAAGTTATAAGCTCAAAAATTACATATAAACTATAAGCTAGCTTCTCATCTATTAGCTAACTTATCAGCTAATTTTATCAAACATAGCCTTAACGTAATAACTATTGTACATGCAAATCATTATCAAACATTAAATTCTTAGCAATAGGCATTAAACAAGACATAATAACTCTGACTACAAGGCCCGTATTCCTAGTAATAACTCTGACCACAAGGCCCACATTCCTAGTAACTATTATCAAGCCCAATCACAGACTTGGCCCAATATATTTGGGCTTGCAGGTATCCAATTAAACTTGGCCAGCCTACTTATGCAAAAGAAAGTGAGAATAAATAACTATTTTGAAGGTTATGAAATAAAGATATTTTGGATGAAAGTAGATTTGATATAGGATAAGATTAATAAAATAACACTTATTAATATGACTGGGAGTTAGAGATAGTGAATAATATAAGAAAAATGAATTTAACACTTAAAATAATATTTATTTATTATATTTGTGTTTTTTGAAATAAGTAACATGGAATTAATGTTTGAAGAAAACGAGATATCTTCTTTAACTTTTCATCATAGTTATTCTCTTATTATGTATTTGAAATTAATTTCCTTCCTTCTATTTGTAGAAAAAGGAATGATATTATGGAATATAAAGAGCAAAAGGTTATCCCAAGAGACTCATGTGAAATTTTGAGAGTTACATAACGTGAGGTTGAAAGCTGAAAAAAACGAGCAAGAAAAAAAATAAATCGAGCATAAAGATATTCTCAAGAGAAAACAACGAAAGAAAGTTTCGAATTTCACAATATTGTAGAGAAAGAGAGAGACGATTAATTTTGAATGATTTTGCTAAAATATTCGTACATGATGATTTACAAAGCATGAGAATTCAATTCCTACTTAAGGGTATAGGAAAGAGCTCGAGCTCGGAGAGTCAACTTGTTAACTTTACAAGCTATGCTTGATTATCAATACTAACAAGTTCGGTCATAAAAATTACATAAATTTATATTTCAAGCCTTGTGCTCGTTAATTAAGCGACTACCAAACAAGCTTGATAACGAGCAGATCTAAACTCGAGCTCTAATGAGCTACGCCAAGTCCACGAGCGGCTCATTTTGTTAAAGAATCGAACTCGAGCTCAAAGGCTCAACTCGTTAACTTTACGAGCTCTGCTCGACTATCAGTTCTGACTAAGTCGAGTCATAAAAAATTACATGAAATTCATATGTTGAGGCCTTCTGCTCGTTAGCTAAACGATTATATATCAAACACGAACGAGCCGGTCTAAACTCGAGCCTTGACGAGCTAAGTCGAGCTCACGAGCGGGTCGTATTGTTAACAACTCTACTACTATTCTATGCTCTAAGTACTTGGGAATAGTAGGCATGAGCCAACATCCATCATCCCATAAACATACATCATGATTATGCCAATTCCCATGGGGAAAAATAAAGTGTGCCAACCTGAATATGGTATATATGATCATGAATGCACCTTATTCGTTATCAATGGCCATGATGCCACCAGCAAAAGAGAATGTGAAGGCAGACAAAAAACATTCTAAATTCTACCTTTTTGCTAACAATTCTTAATTACATTATTCTTCATCAAATCATATATATATATATATATGGGTCTATGATATCATATTCTCCACTTTAATTGGGACTGGCTAAAGTTATATTTTTCCAATGTATAGATATATTTTTTAAGTACTATTTAAATTAATTTGGTCTAAGAAAGCTGAATTTGCAGACATAATAATTTGGTCTAAATCCTTTTGACTCGTGCCACTTTTTCCTCTTAAAAAGTGTAGCTTTGTGTTGCTATGCAGGTTGATAATTTTTGTGCTCATAATAGTATATGCGTACAACGACCTTATACTATACGGGAAATATTACAGTTCCGTTACGGAATTATTTCGTCGGAGTTTGTAACTGTTGAATCATCATGTAACCGTCGAGGATAGTTGATCTAACGATTACAAACTCGATGGAATAATTTCGTTACGGGACCGTCGCATCTCTCCTATACTATATATTGCTTTTGCTTGATTACCACGAATTGAATGGGATAGTGAAATGACATTGATATCCCAAAATTCTATTCTCATATGATTTTAGCCCAAAGGAATTTGACAATGAAGTCTTTGGTCCAAAATCCAGATCTACTCAGGACCTTCCTTCTCTTGTGATTCTTATATTCTATGCTATTAATGTGTTATATCTTGCAGAAATAATTTAATTTTGGGGTATTTAAATAGAATTTAATATACATGGGCACTAGAAAATGAAATTCAAATTAAATATATGTTATTTGTAAACAAAAAAAAAAAAAATGTATTATATATCACACGGACGGTGTGGTGTGGCTAGGTTGATTAGAGGGATGTTTACTTTATTAAGTTTGATTTTAAATTAAACTAATCATATCATGTGATCTTATAATTCCAAATGACCCATTTCACTTGGGAAAAAATAAAAATAAAAATAAAAATAAAAATAAAAAATCCCCATATGTCACCTCTCCTTAAAGCAGCTTGATTTTTTATTTTTATTTTTATTTTTTTTTTTCATTTTTTTGCAGCTTTTAAGTCAACAACTTTTGTACCAATTTAGATCTGCCCAACTTTCACCACTTTGTGTATACTTAAAACTTAAATTAATCATGATTATTGTTAATAATACTTGAAAGAACCATTTAAATTACCTTAATCTAATACAAATAATCAAATTTGAACAAATTCAGTTTTATAGACTCGAAATTAAGAAACACAAATTCTTGTGTAAGACAGATTAATCATTAGATTAATATGCATAGAAGGCCTATCATATTATTTGAACAAAAAAAAATTGCATGTCTAAGCATTGAAATGTGTATTTTCATCTATATTAATTCATAAAATAAGAAACATATGTATGTATGATGAATAAGTATGATTAAAACAATTAAACAAAGGCTATAAAAAAGAGAACAAAAGTTTTATTTATTTATTTATTTTTTGGTTGTTGGGCCAAAAACTTTAGGTCCCGTAATTATGAAAGTCCAAAAACCACGCATGCTAAATGCATGGATCCTTGCAATTGAGGCGCGCATGCCAATATTGCACTTCTTATAAGTTCTTATAGTACTCAAAATTTGGGACTTAAAGAGAGAAAAATGCACTAATTTAGGGTGTTTTGCAATTTCTCATTTAATTGGACAAAAGTAAATTTTATTAAAATTCACCATGTGTTTCATTTCGCCTGACTGTATTGGACGTAGGACTGCAAACGAGCGAGCATAGTCGAGCAACACCCGAATTGAGCCGAGCTTTTTTTTTTCCTTATTGGTGGCGGAGCTCGACGAGCCAAGCTAGTTAAGCCTCGACTCGGCTGGACAATGGTATACAAATAGTCGGGATTGGTTCGAAATTATGGAGCTCGAGATTGACTTGAATTTAAGGAGAATTTTGATAGGTTTTAAGCCGAATCTAACTTGAGTTTGGAGTTAATTAATTAGATAGTTACACGTATACTTGAGCAACTCGTCGAGTAATCAGACTTACAATATAAAAACTTGATTCAAGCTGTCACCACAGCCGCTCGACTTGTTTGCAGCCTGACATGGATTGGAGATCATATCTTATTTAAGTGTTTGCATCAACACAAATGTTCATTATTAGTTATGTATTATATTTGTTCTAATATTGGAAAAGGGACTAACTGACATAAAGAAATCTAGGGAAGTGAGAAAAAGAGGCTCCCCAAAGCATTTAACTTTGAAAACCCAGAATCTACTGTAATTCCTATCTGTCCTCACAAGTCACACCCAAAGCAAAGAATATATATTTATATATATCAAACTTAAAAAATAAAAATTATTTGATTGTTTTTAAGAGACCATTAAATTAATACAACTACCCAATAATATATACCCTAATAAATCTTGACATAAAAAAAAAAAAATTGTAAAAAATCCCAGTCTTTGCATTGGAAACTGGAAACATAGTTTATACTTTAATTATAAACACCCCCCACACATCTTCATTCCCTTCTATTCTCATTCTTTCAACTAAAAATAATTATAATAATAATTAAAAATAAATTAGAAGGTTAAACAACTAGATTAATATAATATAATTGCATGTCTTGGTCACAACCCCATTTTTATAAGAATTGTGTTCCCCACCCCACATGGGCATGCATGACTCCACAAATTCACAAACATATATAATTATCTATGGTCATTTTTCTCTTTATTTATTTATTTTTTCTTTTTTGCCCCAATTGGCTCATACCTAGAATTTGTACATTTGTCATATTATATGACAAAAAACAAGGCCTAGACCACATATAAAACCTTAGCCAGTGCCCCCCCAAAAAAAAAAAACCCATAACAGTCCCAATTTTTTTTCCCCATTTTCTTTTTCTTTTCCCTTCAAATTTATTTATTTATTTATTTATTGAAGCTTTGGAAATTGCAAATAGGGTGTCATGAATTTTCAAATTTGCAGCACAATCTGAGAAGAAGACAAAGAGAAAAAATGTGCATCAAGACAAACAGTTTGTGTTAGAAAAAAAAAAAATATATACAAGAAAAAAAAAGACACAATTTTGTTCACAATAAGCTAGCTGCTCCAAAATGGAATCTAATAAGGCCTCAGTACCAATCATTTGTGCTTTTGTTTTCTTCCTGTTTTTTATGACATCCTCTGTTTGTCCTGTCCAATCCGAGGTTATCAACACTACCAAACAGATTTTGAGGCCTGTGAATGAGTCCAGGAAGCTTGACTACATCAGAGCCCATTTGGATAAAATCAATAAGCCTCCTGTTAAGACAATTCAGGTAATTTTTTTATTTTTTTTTAAATAACATAATTTTTGTCAATATATATTTATATTTTTTGTCAATATATATTTATATTTTTTGCTTTTTAATTAAATAAAAAATTATTATTTGTGCAGAGTCTGGATGGGGATATCATAGATTGTGTATTGTCACACGAACAACCAGCTTTTGATCATCCTTCGTTAAAAGGGCAAAAGCCATTGGTAAATTAATTAAAATCATTTTTTTTAGTCATTTTGTTAATTAATTTAACAATTTTATTTTTTTCTAATTTTTTTTTTTCATGCATATGTTCTTGAATTGAAGGATCCACCTATAAGGCCGAAAGGTCACCAATCAAAACATGAAATTTTCGACGAAAATTTCCAACAATGGAGCTCGACCGGCGAAATTTGTCCGGAAAACACGATTCCGATCCGAAGAACAACCGAACAAGATATGTTACGAGCGAAATCAATCCGAAGATTCGGACGAAGAATTCCGAAAACGGTTAGAAGAGATTCTACTAGCAATGGCCACGAGGTCAGTAGTAATATATACTATATATTTTCAAACTTAAATGTGCTATTAAAATCAATATAAACGAAAGTTTTACCGTAAATGTATGATTAGTCGACTCGTCTAACGATTAGATGGAAATTTTCAGCATGCTGTGGGGTATGTGAGTGGAGATGAGTACTATGGAGCTAAAGCAAGCATAAATGTGTGGGCCCCACGGGTTGCAAGCCAATACGAGTTTAGTTTATCACAAATTTGGGTAATTGCAGGCTCATTTGGGGTTGACCTAAACACAATTGAAGCTGGTTGGCAGGCACGTCACACGTTTTTTTTTTTTAATTTCCTTATTTTAAATAATAGTATAATTTTAGATATTATTAGATTTTATTTTTTTTTTAAAAAAAAATGTGATTATAGAATGGGGAAATGTTACGGTCCTGTACAGAACTATTTCGTCGGAGTTTATAATCGTTAGTTCATCATATAATCGTCGGAGATAGTTAATTTGATGGTTACAAATCCCGATAAAATGGTTATGTAATGTGACCGTTGTATTTCCCGATAGAATGTATCTACTAATTTTATACTGAATCGTGTACATTGTTTTTAGGTGAAATTGTCCATTAATAATCCAGACAATGAAACTCATCTTTTCTAACATCATTAAAGCAGCATTTACATCTTCAACTACCTCATGCTGCGGCAAAATTAATAAATGGACTCTAATTATAAATAAATTTATTTATTTTTTTGTCAACAGGTTAGCCCAGAGCTTTATGGCGACAACCGTCCCAGATTTTTCACTTACTGGACAGTGAGTTTGAGTTCACTAATTTTATTTTAATCTTTTCTTAATTTTAAATTAGTTCCCTAATTATGATTTAATTTTTAATTAATGTGTAGCAATCTTGGTCTTATAAACTATTACTAGTATGTAACCCGTGCGATGCACGGGTTGTATTTACTATGGAGAATATTAAAAATTAAAATGTATTAATAAATAAAAGAGTGATAATTCGTAGGAAAATTATCAAACCATAAAATGTTCCTCGTGCAAAAAAATATATTATTTAATTTTTTTTGTACACAACATTATTTGTTCAATAACTGAGCAACTCGTCGTCCCCACAAATTAATATTTTCAACACTTTTCTATTATTTACATGCGAAACAAACAAAATAATTGTCCGTGGCTAAAAATCGATTTTTTTAAGAACATGCCAACGTACAATAAATGTTGACCTTGATTCTTCTTGATCTAATACTTAACATGTCAACGTACAATAAATGTTGACCTTGACTCTTCTTGACCTATTACTTACACAGGTAACAACATACATTTGGTCGTGATCAAAAAAAAGATTTTTTTTTAAGAACATGCCAATGCACATAGTACTTACACGTAAAAACAACAACATATAATCGGTCGTTGCTAAAAACTGATTTCTTTAATAATATGACAACGCAGATAAAGACTGACCCTGATCTTAAATGAAACCCTAAGATTAGAAGTAACTGGTGCTCTAGAACTTAAATGAAATCCTAAGATGGATCTTTTTATAATATGATAATTTACTTAGGCAGTCAGACAATGAGTTGTTAGTTTAATATCGATTATCCTTGATTAGCTATATAATATTCACTAATATTTCTATATTTTTTATACAAAAAGACTGACCATGACTGTTAAATGGAACCCCTAAATCAGAAGGAACTGGTGCCGCTGGAACTTAATGAAAGTCTAAGATGGATCTATTTATAATATGATAATTTATACAACAGTTGGGCAAATGAATTGGTGTATATCTACAAAAATACGTATGAATAATGCAAAACATTAAAATATTACATCACACTAATTTTATGAGAGAGATTATATATAGTAGATATAAAATATAAAACATTAGTGATTAGACATTACTTCAGGCTAATTTTTTCAAGCCGGACAATTTTTAATTGAATGTGTGACAACTTGTTATATATTTTCAAACTGAACAATTTTTAATTGGACAACTTTTCTATTATATGTGTGACAACTTTTTAGGTATTAAATTTATATATATATATATATATATATATATATATATATATATATATATTTTGCAATAAATTTATATTTTGTGTATACAAAAACAAAAAATCGATTTACTATACAAAATTATGAAAATTTTCCTTTTAAAAACAATTGACAAAAAGAATACCAATAAAGGAAATTGGTGTATATCTCAAAAAAAAATGATTTGTATATATCTCATATAAAATCGTTCATTTTTAAAATCTGCTACAATGAAAAATATATTTAAATATTAATATAAATATATTTAGATATTAATATAAATTTATATTTTGTAATTGTTGGTTTCAATAAGTATGATGAAATAAAAAAGAATTCTCACAAATGAGAATTTCAAAATTGACGCCATGTAAATTTAAATATTACTATAAAATTATTTTTTTTTGTGCCTATGTAACATATATGCTAATCCAAATCAATGATTCTAATAAATCTGTTAAAATAAAAAAGAATCCTTGATAAATATATAAGAGTTCCAAAATTGGCTACATATAATTATTTACATAATCTTTGCCTACAAAACCACTATTAACGTAATTAAAGAAAAAACCAAGAATTTACTAAAACAAACACAAACCGAAAATCGAGTTATATGAAAATTATTCAATTAATAATTTATTTTTTATTTAGATCATTTTATATTATTTCCATCTATAGTAGGTAATTAATGTTTTGAGCGGAAAATGTTCATAAAATGTTTGGGTGTGAAAAAATCATATGTTATTAAAAACCTAATTGTAAACAACATTATTAGTTTGATTATTGGGCACACTACAATAAAATGATAAACTTCCAATGGAAATCTATTCCAAAAGAAATTATTCCAACGACAATTCCAACGGATATTTCAATACTATTATTTTCGTTGGAATGAATTTTCTATTGGAGTTTCCGTTGGATTTTGACTATTCCAATGGTGGATTTTTCAACGGGTGGAAACAAAAATTCTAATGGAATTTGCATATTCCAACGGTAAAAAAACCATTGGAAATATAGCAGTTGAAATCATCGAATTTCTAAGATTGTCAACCACTCTTGTTTATCGTCATGACAATATAAATGGATGTTTGTCTAAAAAATTTAATTTTTTGAAATATAGTGATCGTGTGTTATTTTTTAATTTTGTGATTAATGGACTGTTTTATTAATTAGTTGGTTTGAATCAATATATAACAAATTTTGTTGCCAATCGTTATTAGAGTTTTTAAATTAATTTGTTTAAATGCATAAATAAAAAGAGACCTAAACTATGAAAATTTTTTCATCTTTTGAAATCAAATAAATGACAAACACTATCTTTTAAAATAAATAATGATAATGATTATAACATTGTATTATCAAAACCGATAAGATATATAAAATTCGTTTTCCTTTTCAAATCGATTATGAAGAAAAAAGTCTAATTGGTGAAAAGATGATATTTACAAACCATGATTTTAGAAATCTGATATATACAAATCTTAGCATGCGGTTTCAAACAATTTAATAATATAATAATAGGCTGAATGAATTATGATTCAAATTCATGCAAATAAAATTTTGAACAGATTTCTAAAATCATGATATATACAAATCATGATTTTCCTTAGAGATTTATTCGGATTTTCAAATTGTTTGGAAATCACGATTTCTATAATCATGATTTATTCAGATTTCCAAATTATTTGGAAAAATAGGAGATTTATTCGGATTTGATGCCTTATTGTTTACCAATATAAAAGTATTTGATGTTATTAATAATAAAAAAAACGAAAAAATTTGAGTTACTATTTTTAGGAGATAATTAATGAAAGTGGAGGAAAGTTATTTCTAAATTTAATTTATGTTACTTTCACGTAAATACTAATATATATATATATATATATATATATATATATATATATAAGTTATTTCTAACAATTATTAGAAATATGATTGATTCTTAAAAAGAATCTTTAATTGATAATTATTAATTAAATGTTCTAAATTGTATTTTAAAATTTTTTAAAAATACGTATGGTAAGTGTATTTCTTAAATTAAGTGTATTAAGTATGGTAAGTGTATTTTTTAGATTTATTTGGGACTAAAAGGCTTTGTTGTTGTTGTTGTTGTTGTTGTAAGTGTATTAAGTATGGTAAGTCTATTTCTTAAATTTATTTTGATTTTGATTCCATATTTTTGATTGTATTCCTAAAAAAAATTGGATAAAAAAGGTATGTTAATAAATAGAGATTTTTTAATTTACTATTTTTAGGCAATAATTAATGAAATTGGAGGGAAAATATTTCTAAAAATAAATTATGTTAATTCTTATTATATATTAATAGATGACATTAATACTAAAGGTCTAAAATTAATGGAACAATATATACATATTTTAAAATTGAAATGTCATAAATACTTAATTAGAACACTATAAACAAAAAATAATGACATTAATACTATATATAACAGTAAATAATTTGTGAATTGCTATAGAAAATGATATTGCAACCCAACCCTATTTTGTTAAAAAAAATTAATTGAATTTATGGCTAATTAATAATTTTTCATTGACTTGAGCAATTATTAATGATTTAATGTAATTAATATTTGCGTGTACGTAGAGTGATGCATATCAGACAACAGGCTGTTACAATTTGATGTGCTCAGGCTTTATTCAAACCAACAATAGAATAGCAATTGGAGCTGCAATTTCACCAACTTCGTCTTACAATGGCGGTCAATTCGATATTAGTTTATTGATATGGAAGGTAATTGTTTTTATCCTTTTTTTTTTTTTTTACTATACGCATATCTGTAAACTAACTGAACTCGAACTTCTCGTTATCAAGTTTGATATAGACTCGTTTATTAAAACTAATCAATTGAATTCGAGTCTTAACAAATTCAAGGTGAATTACGTGTCCAAGAAATTACATAATAAAACCCTATGTCTCGAGCAAACTAGGCGAGATCGACTTGTCCAATAAAATTTTACGAGCAGCTTGGTTCGTTTAACAATTTTAGCAATTTGTATGTGGGAAGACTAAAAATAGTAGTCTAAGTCTTAAAATTGTTGTAGCAATAAATATATGCTCAAAATTTTCTATTTTTCTTTATGTAGCAATAATTTATTTATATAGTATTTTTTATTTTTTCCTTTTATTTTTTTTTTTAAATATATGGGGGAATCATCATATTGCTCGTTTCCTTTTTGCTTTCTAAGATTCCTCCACGCTTCCTCCCCAAGCAAAGGTGTTTCCTATTATTGGATTACACATCTTTATTTATTAATCGTGTTTTTTACTAAAATTATTACCATAAATGGTTAGTGTAAAGTTGATTTTCGAATACAACTCGTGAAAGCTCAAGCTGAGTCGAGTTCGAACAGCTAATCGGATTCATTCATTTAAATGAATCGAGTCAAGCTTGTTAGCCAACAACTCATTATTTTTAAACCGACCTGAACTTTTTCAGGAATAAACATTTCACATTCGCTAACAAGTTGTTCAAGATTTTGAATTTACTAAACTAATCGAGTCGAACCTTTTAGTTTTTTCTTTAAGCAAGCTGAATAAAACTGACTCGTTTATTCAATGAACACGCACGCACGCACGCAAACGCGAGTTACTAGACTCGACTCGAATAACACTCTAAAGTGTAACCATTTTTGTGTTCGAATGCTTTTATTGTAGGACCCAAAGCATGGGAATTGGTGGCTAGAATTTGGAAATGGTGTTTTGGTTGGCTATTGGCCGTCGATTTTATTCACACATCTGAAGCATGGTGCGGGCATGGTCCAATTTGGGGGAGAAACTGTAAATAGCGAAAAATCGGGGTCCCACACGTCAACCCAAATGGGCAGCGGGCATTTTGCAGAAGAGGGGTTCGGAAAAGCCTCATATTTCAGAAACCTACAAGTGGTCGATTGGGACAATAATCTAATACCCATATCAAATCTTCATGTTTTGGCCGATCATCCAAATTGTTATAATGTAAGGGGTGGAATTAATAGAGTTTGGGGTAATTATTTCTATTATGGAGGACCTGGGAGAAATTCGAGGTGTCCTTAAAGACAAATATATATAATAGTGCTTTTGTAGGGATTTTTTACTGTAATCTTTTTTTTTATTATTATTTTATTTATTTATTTATTTATTTATTTTTCATGGCGTGATTTTTACGACACGATTAATTATACAACGTTTAGAGGTAGTGTAAATTGTCAAATGGAAATAGTAAACATACTCTGTTTATGTAATGTTTTGATAAATATTACTCCCATTTTTTTTTTTTGTTTTTAATTTTCTATCTTTTCGTGAGCCTATTACTTGATTTTGCCTATCTTTTGTTTGCTTATTCGTGTATATTTGCATAATTGCATAACACCTCTAGTATTGTAACTGAACCGAACGAGTCGAGCTTGAGTACTTGGAGCTTGTCTTTGTTTACGTTCAAATAATGGTCGTGTTCGTTCATTTATTTTTTGAGCAAAAATGTGTTCAAACTCGCTCGTTGAACTGTTCGTTAAAGTTCGAGCTCGTTCGTATTCGAATAATTTAGGTTATAAACTTTTTAAATATGTTTGCTTAACTCGAAATATGTGCATTCAATCTCGTTCGAACTCGAAAATAAAAATAAGTAAAATAAAAATAAAATAAAATAAAATTATAACGAATTAATATTCGCAAATATTATTGAGCATTCACGAATGAGCCCGCGTTCGTTCGATTTATTAAACAAGCCTAATTTTCAGTTTAAACTAGGCTTGATTAACAAACGAACGATCTTTTGTCGAACACGAACGAGCTCAAACTAGTTTTTCTTCGCAAATATTTGGGTCATTAACAACCCTACGAGTGATACTTGTGCGGGTATACCATGATCTAATTGTTATAAAATTGGTATGCTTCCAAATTTCCAATCAAAGAAGATGAAGTCGGGTTGCTGGAGTTCTTCATGAATTTACATTACAGGTTTTGAAGCCCAAGCCCAGTCCAAGATGAGAAACTATTGTACTTAACCCTGGGCCAAGTCCAATAAAAGTAATACTTCTGGACTTATGGAATATGAGCTTGGGCCAATCCATATGGGCCAACCCTACCAGCTAAGTACTAATAATATGAGCTTGGGCCAATCCACATGGGCCAACCGTACGAGCTTAGGCCTTTAAATTAGTCGAGCTGAGCTAGAATTCGAGCCATTTTCAGCTCGTTAAGTAAGCGCTCGTTTTTCAATATTAGCAAGTCGATTCGACCCTTACCAGGTCGATCGTACTTTAACTTGCCGGTTATAAAAATATATATATATATATATATAAAAAAAATAAATTCAAGCCTTATTGAAAGATGGATTAGTCAACGCGAAGTTGATCAAGACACAAATAGTGGAAATAAAAATAAACAAATGTCAAATTTAGGCTGTGAATTATGAAATATAACCGCATCAAAAAGGCCCGTGATAGTCTAACCTAATCTAGCTAACGTGATATGTTGCATGTGCTTCTCTATTTAATAATTTACGTGATTTCCCAAGCAATATCTTTATATCTTAATTTAATAATAAATTATATGTCATCGGATTTTAATATGATATATTTATTAGCCAATAATGGGCAACCACGCACTATAAACCTGCAAGATTGCTATTTGCATAAACAATTAAATTAATGACTGGGAAAGCAACTTATAAACAAAAAAAAAATAAAAATGTCATATCCCAAATTGAGAAAACAAAATAAATTAAGTGTTAACAAAATGAGTAGCTCGTGGGTTCGATTTTGTTTAATAAATAAGTCAAATCGAGCTTTTTAAAGTTTGTTCAGTTAACAAGTCAAACTCGACTCGACTCGGCTCAACTCGAATACTTACGTACGGTACCAGGCCGAGCATCAAGACTGCTTATTCCGCTAAAACAGCAAAAAATTTTATGTAAACTTTTATAACTGAACTCGTTCAAATTCTAATTCAGCTATGCTAAACTTCAAACGAGACTCATTATTATTGATAAATAAAGCTAAAAACTAGTACTACATGTACAACATGAGTGTTGAGTTAATAAATATATGTGTAAAGTTATTTATGTTTAATACCAAAACAAATTCCAAAGCAAAAATAATATAAAAACAACATCACGAAGTATAAATTTTCGTCATGTTGATATCTGAAACATGAGAATCTCTCACATAAATTCAACACGTTTTGAATTAATATATAGCGAGGAACGTGGATAAGTGGGGTATAGAGAATGGGGACAGTTGGGGAAGTTGGTTTGAAATTTGAACACAGAACCTTCCAGCTCTCGTCCAGCACATATTCCTTTAGAAACGCCTAGAATCTTGTCTCTTTCTTTCCTTTTTTTTTTTTTTTTTTTTTGAGAAAAAAAAATTAAAATTAAAATAATACTTCTATCAATTATCAAATATTAAAATGCTATTTTCCTTTCATTATCCTCCATTTTAAATTTGAATTACTCTTTAGTTTCAAACTCAATATTGAAAGCTAGAGTTGTAAATAAATTAGAGAAAAAAAGTTTGGTGTTGTACCGAGTTCGAGCTCTTAATATTCGAGCTTCTTGATTCATTAATAAATAATCGAGTTTTAAGTAATTTTGGTTTTAAGTCTTAATGAATTGACCCGAATCGAGTTGATCATGAGCGGCTTGTCTGTTTAACAAATAGTTAATATATTGGAGAGTACACTGTTGTTATATTATATTAACTGATTTAATTGGTAGTTAAAACTCAATAACAATTTATAAACAAGTGTTTGAGGAGATTACTAATATTATCAAATGATAGTGTTGGTTTTGTATCAAAATCAAATGGTTCTACTGTAGCAGCCTAAGAAAAATTAGTTATTTTCATTTTTCTTTTTTTTTTTGGTACAGGGACCTTCCGGTTTCCGGATCTACAAGGGAACCGATTAATCTAGAATCGAGCCGAGTAGGACCACAAGGGCGGCAAAAGGGCTCGAACACGAGACCAAAGGGCGGCAAAACTCTTCCTCAAGAGTTTTAACACTGTTGCATTCTCAGGGCTCGAACACGAGACCAC